TCAGAAGTAGCTCACACAGTCTATATTTTTCCTGTAAAGATAATATGCCTAATTAGTCTGTGTAGAAGTATGTTTTAAAAAGTTTGCAATTGAACATAATACGTTAATGGTTTTTGTGGGCTGACTCTGCACTTCAGCTGACAAAATATATTATCTTGTCAGTTGACCTGTCCATTAATGTGATCCTCAGATTCAATATTTAGCTTTGTATTTAACACAAAGTTGTTGATATGACAATTCAATATATGCAAAACTACAGGAAAATTCATGTTCTGCCTTATGTTCCACCATATTACTCAGTTACCTGGTTAGTTCAAAACACAGACATGCCAAGATGGCACACTTCATAGAAGTGATGACTTGCTTCATTAGGAGATAACATTTCTAGATAATTCCACTTGCTTTAAATGATTTTTGTCAATGCTGTTCTGTTAAAGCTCTGAAAAGGTGTTTGTTACTCCAGAAAGCAGGAGTCCTATGCAGTCACTACTTACTTTTGCTAAGCAGTGTTGAATTGGCCATAAAATGTCTCAGATAGTTTGGTGCCCAATGCCCAGACAGAGTAGTTCCAGCAAAATGAGAACTGGAATCTTCTGCCTCGATTTTAGAATTTGAAGTCCATAAAATAAACATTTTTAAGAATCATCAGTAAATCAGACCAGCACTGCTATCAGGAAAAATTCAAATACTGTGGGCAAATAGAAACACTCTCCTGAACTTTATTTGCCTGTCACCTTAGGAGGTTTATGAGCCTTAAATAGTTCACATCTTCCACTCCACCAGAATGAACACTAAACATCCATGAGCTGGATAAATTTCCAAATTTTTCCTCTGTTACCTTTTTAAATGTTGGAGGTAATGCCCAGGTTTCAAGCTGAGTGCCTGGGCTCCAGTTCTGTGTCAGAGGGTGGCAGGAGACTTGGAGATGGCTCAGATGGACCCAGTCAGAGACTTGGAGATGGCTCAGATGGACCCTGCAGTCTCACCATATGCTTTTGGAATGTCACAGGTGCTGTGATGGCACCCACAATGTATAGTTCTATCCAAACATATCTCTGTGCACATCTCGCAGGAGGCTGTAGCCTAAAATGAGAACTGACATCAAAAGCCAGTCAGTAAGGACAAAGCATGATGTGAAAATACTTGTGCTACCTGAAAATTGGGCTATGGCAGTGAATGTTAAGTGTAGCTCTAGCACAGACTTGTCAGTACTGCAGCCAGTTTGACTATGCTGTGCCTTTATGTTCATTTGCACACCACTGGATTTTATTTGGATGCTATAATAGAGAGCCAAGAATAAATTTAGAGCATATTGGAGGAAACCTGGACTCACTGTTGC